CGGCCGGTTCGTTGTGGGATCCTCTTCGCTTGCCTTTCTTATGTGTGGTTTGTCTTCGTTCCGTCTCCCAAATAATGGTGCAAGACTTTGTAGGCCGCTGGCAGCTCTATATGCCTGTTGATCGAGTTGGAATCCGAGTGCCATGCCTCGAAGGTCAGCCTTTCGGCTTTTGAGGTTCCTCGGCCTACGATGGTCACACCTTAATCCCAGGTACAGTTATCCGATGTTCATATGCAGACTATTTGATTATAAAATATTCTGCCACAGAGCCATCTGCTGGCTGCTTTGTCGACGGTGCTAGGGTGTATCTGATTTCGGAGGTGATATTAAATCACCAAAGCTTTAGAAAGCGGATTTAACTCCAACATACGTTAGCTTTCTTTCTACAGAGAAAACATATTGCTCCATAAACACAAGCGAAGGCTCTGTGTCGAATTCTGAGGTGAAACGCAACCAGCACCTTTCTGCGTGAAATCAGGCCCGATAATGTCTTCTCAAATGAATGAAAACGTTCGCATTCCAGGTATTTGCATGGATAAGGAGGGACGATTGTTGAGCACCGGATCAATTTATTTATTATCCTGAGCTTTTGGAACTCTTACAGGAGTCCATTATCAGAGATAAGAGACAGCAACAAAAAGGGACCAAATATAGTGGGTGTACACCAATCATCTGTCAGGGGTCATCATATCGTAAGGGGTACGATACGGCTATGAAAAAGGCGAGGGGGGCAATTATAGATGTATACGTTAATTAACCGGCCGTGATGTCAATGTTCGTCAGGGCGCCAGCAACGAAAATGAGGTCAATTATAGAGGATGCGTACTAGTTAATTGTGACGGACGTCTGGGCGTGACTGCACGTGACCGCGCAAGGCTCTGTACACTGGCGCCAATTCAATACATTGGTTGATTGAATTCTCATCCGTGGACGAGGCTTCAATCCATTCTCGGCTCGTCTTGTTTTCGGCCTGTTTAATAAGTATGAGCTGCAAATGGAAATAATTCGTCACCTCTTCGTACAACCAGTTTCTATTCATGTATGCGCGATCCGAGCCTGCGTTCAGCTTGGCCTGTGTAGTTACAAAGATAGTTTAGGCATTGGATGCCATACACTACTCTAGATTTTTAATTAGGTTTAAGGCGGTCTTTTATTTGAATTGCTTCTATTAGGACGGCTCAGCCATCGCGAACGATGAGGTTCACGTGAGTCCCACAGCATTGTGAGCACAGACACGGTGAATTGTGCATGAATACGTTTATTGTGATAGTAAACCTGAACAGCATTTGCCACATTCCCTTCTCCCCGTCACTCATCTGAGCCAGTACTACTGAAGACGGGATGAAGCACAGTCAGTGGCAAATCTAAAGAACCAGTCTACGCGTGTCACACGTCCGGTTCGCGCAGTATAAATCAGGTTGTCATAGAAACAAAAAAGTTGGGACTCGGATCCCAATTGAAGGGGACTGTCACAGCGGCCAAATGGAGGAGGACTCATTGTAGCTTGAATCCCCACCAAGAGAGGAGGACCTAATTATACGGTCAATTCGCAGCCCTCCAAGTCACAGTTTCTAGCGCACCGTGATCGGTTCAATGCGCGTCAGATTATTTATAGCCAAAAATATGAGTTGAGTGCCATGAGAGTCAGTCCATGAAGCCTCCGTCCCTCTCCCTTTCCTCCCCCAAGCATCATTCTACTGACCGAGCTAGTCAACCCTCTGCTGGGGGGACTGTGTGCGTAGCTTGAGATGTAGACTGGCAGTTCTGGACAACGAGCTTCATAAATACCTTCTGCCTTCGAACAACACTTCCACCATAGTTAATATCTTCGATCGCAAACCAAAAACTGGTCCGTAGCTGAGTGTACAAGCTTTTGACTAAACGCTTACTGACTTTAATGGCCGAGTACGAGTCCCAGGTTATCCTACTCTGTAGTCGCACATGGCTGACTGTGGGATTATAAGCCAGAAATGAAAATTTCAGTCTTCATAGACTTTATCGCTTATTCTTTCTGCACCATTGCTATTGAATAAGCGCCGGTCTACAGGGACGCTAGACTGAAGTCGAGTGTGTAACGGGACGAGTGTGGTTCGCACGTACGTTGCCGAAAGACCATTACACCACCATAAACCAATGCATGCACAAACAAGACAAGAGACTAAATCCAACAGGCCTTAAAGTTTGGCTAACTCTTCCATACGTGAAGAATCTAGCGGAAGCAGTCAGCCACTTTCTCACTCCACTTGGATTTGGCGTTGCACATAAGTCGGAAGCAACCATCAGGCACCGGACCATGATGCCGAAAGACCCACTGCCACGGCAGGAAACAGCTGGGATCGTTTACTGGATTTGGTTGTTATGGCCAAGGCAAGTCACAGAACCGAGACGTTACACCGAAGGGTCGAGCACGCAGCAGCAGTGAAGAGGGAAGACGTTGGTGCCCAGACTGCAGTTCAGTCGACGGGGCCAGACCATATTTCAAAATTTAACGAAGCCTATATCCTCGCAAGTGGGTGATAACAGCGTGAGCCGCGAGCTGCCCGAATCATGGTTCTCAGGCTCGCAGTCCATCAACAAGCGCAACGACTTGTCATTCCTTTATTCCGTACGGATACTTTTTCTGAGTAGGGAATCAGTCACGCGAGAGGGCGCGGGCAAGCAACAATTTCGATGTCAGCGCGCCTAACTGTCAGGTAATTATCACGCCAACATCTAACATGGATGATGAAATCGTGGCCATTAATTAGTCGGACGCGGACTACCAAGGCATCATTGCATCAATCACCACCCCAGGCGATGATCACAGGAGCTGCTAGTTTTAGTGTGTATGTGGTCGTATGACCGCTTCGACTGTTACTACTTCATAACCTGAGCATTTATTAACCTTTATGCGGTTATCTCTGATGATGGGTTCAGGCCAGAATTCGAAACGTCAGGCAAATAAACTTCTTATTCCAGTGATCATATCTTCTACTTTTTAACTACTTCCAGGAACTCACCTGTCCGCTTCTACCAACATAAATAAATTGCTGGCTGAAACCAAAACTCTTCGAGTTGGGTATAAATGAAAGAAGTATGACAGCGGAAACCATGTTTTTATTGTTCTGCCGCTTTTAATTTATACACGGTTTCATCATGTGGAGCAAAGCTTGTTTCGTGCCTCACAACGTTCGAAATCTAATGGTTCTGCTTACTCGCTAAGGGCGGTACTTTTGGTATTGTCCTCGATAGGGTAACGGTGTTGTTCTGTCGAAATCTATCTTTACTCTCATGGGTTTTGGTGTCTGTGGTCTTTATATTTAACACTAGGGTTGCTAGTCGAGCTCTACTGTTCTCACACTTTTCTACGCCAGTGAAAACCGTTGCGACTCCGTCCAACAGGGGTTTAGATCCGTCTGCGTTCGTTCCTAACTCGGATTTTTCTGCACCTACGTCAGAACTTTAACTAGGTTCTGTCATTGGTTTGAGCTGTACAAAGAGGACCTGCAGGGAATGCTACGAAAAATTCTGCCTGTAAACCACACTTCATATTGTTGTAAGTGCGCTAGAGGCCTTGATCCGGAATTTCGGTGAGCAGTTTTTCATCACTTAAGGCAAAGTACACCGTCTTCTTACTCCCTGTGGTTC